CAATTTCAAGGCCATGCTGGAAAAATCGAAGAAGTCGGAAGAGGTGTCGGAGACTGTGCGCCACCTGATGAAGCCGCACTCCTCCTTTCGCGCCCCCACCCCCCACCCGCCCGCTGGAAGGATCGTCGCAGCCAGAGGCAGTAACAGAGACATTCCACAGCTGCAGCAGCGTGATCCCGCCCCGCTCCGCCGCCAGCCCCTCCCGCCAGAGAACAGTCCTTCTCAGCCCGGCAACCAGCGGCTCAGCGTTTACCCAGAGATCGCCAACAGGCGCCGCCCTGGAACTACCAGCCGTAGGGCTCACGGGGGAGAAGATTTAAGAAATGACTCCTTGCAGAGGATGTGTGTGTATGCAATAATGACACGAGTTTCGCAATAAAACGAAAACATCATTCAAAGAATAAAGTGTCTGATTTCAGCTTGACTGTCAGCTCGAATGATCTCACAGTGGCTTCTCTTCACACATCCTCCACACAAAATGAGCCGGTGACCTCAAAACAGGTTTTTAAAAATCACTGCAGCTCGAGAAAACACACACAATGACCACTGGACACAGCAGCAAAAAATGAACATTTTCGGCAGACCGAGCCCAGGAGAAAATCTCGCTCTCAGCCCAGGGTGTGTCCTACCCCTTCTGACCGCAGCAGAGACAAATGCGTGTCCCCTGTGGCGGCGACAGCCCCCACCCAAGCGACGTCACATTGCTGAGGGCGCGCACGCCTCCCCTCAGCGAACGTCAGCTCACATAATTTCTGATGTGAGCTCGCAGCCTGAGCGCGGCACAGAGGTTTTTGACTTGGCTGATGTCTGTAAAAGTCATGACGCATCACAAAGATGAGTGCCCGCTCCCAGAGCATTACACAGAGTGGCAGCGAGCATGCTCCATGAACAGCTGGACCGTCTTATCAGCAAAGGTTACGCGCTACAGTTCACAGCTCAACCCCCTCTGTTCAGAGGGATAATAGAGACGGTTCTGTCATCTCCAGAACAGATCTCGTCCCCCCACGCAGAAGTTCAGGAACTACTGGTAAAAAAATGTAATTTCCAAGGTTCCCGACGGAAAGAAAAACACAGGGTTTTACTCGCGTTACTTCCTGGTTCCGAAACGGACCGGAGGGATGAGACCCATCTTGTATTTATCCATTTGCAACATTCCAATCATTCCAAAACACAGAAAGTTCCTGCGCTTCTCCTTTCAAGGTCCACTAGGTGGCGTGCTGTCCTTTCTGCAGCAGCTGATGGACACAAATCTGGCGTTCAGCACAATTAAAACGTATGCTGCAGCCATTTCTTCCTGTCACGAGGCTTCGGTGACTGAACAGTTTTTAATCACTCGCTGATGAAGCGTTTTTTAAAAGGTCTACAAAGGCACAGACCTGTGTCACACCCATTAACTCCTCAGTGGAACTTAACGATGGTTCTGCAGGCCCTGATCAAAGCTCCTTTTGAGCCGTTAGGTCAGGTTTCGATTAAATTATTGTCATTTAAAACAGCCCTGCTGTTGGTTTTGACATCTGCAAAGAGGGTGAGTGATTTATCTGCCCTCTCTGTTGCTCTGTCATGCCTCAGGATTCAGGCTGATGGCAGTTCAGCTGATCTGAGACCTAACCCAGCGTTTATGCCTAAAAACATCACAAGCTCATTTAAATCGAGAATGATAACATTGGAGTGTTTTTTCCCTCCTCCCCACAAATCAGAAGAAGCATCTTTACATATTTGCCCTGTACGTGCGTTAGCATGTTACGTAGCACGCACAGCCACACTGCGTCAGACTTGACATTTGTTTGTGCATTATAGAGACGCCTCTGCAGGTCGCCCGTTATCCACCCAGCGCCTGTCACACTGGCTGTGTGAGGCCATTTCTGAATCTTACAGAGCATAAGGTTTAGAGTCTCCTGACAACCTCAGGGCACACTCGACCAGAGGAATCGCATCCTCGACAGCCTTGCATAATGGTATGTGTAGTATGTCATATATGGATATATTCATACATTTTTCACGAGTTCTTCATTTTTCTGACTGTGTAAATGTCGTGCATTGAATTTAACAGAAATGTAACGAGAGACGTTATTTACCTTTGACCCATCAAAATGAATGCGGTCATTTATTTTCAGAATCAAAGTTTAACATCAAACATTTACATTAATTTGGCAAAATATGAAAATAATAACAGACAAGTTTCACAGATAATGGACATCAATCACACGGCGGTGACTGAGGAATTTGCTTCAGATATTTCTAAAATATCTGTACTGATTTTAGGAGAAAGGAGAGTTTAAGATGGAAATGGAGATTTATCTTACAGAGAGATGTGTGAGGGAATTAATCTGTTTGACCAGAAACGTGCACGCTCCTTCAGATCTCAGCTTGCCCACGGTACACTTGGTCGAAAATAGAACCTTCTACCTGGTTGATGATAAAATCAGCGTTGGCGTAGGGTTCCTTTCTGACTCTTTCAGCGTCTCCGTGAGGACTGCCAAACCCTTAGAGAGTCGTACGAGGTTATTCAAACAGAAGTTATAATCCCAAAACGTCTCTGCATCTGGATCCTTTAACTCTCTTCATGAGTTAGAGCTCTGTTACACTCTTACACTTTAACTCCATCACTCTTCAGCACTCTAGCACTCTCTTCATGAGTAGAACCGGGAAGTTGCCACATTTTAAATGAGTTGACTTCCGGGTCAATTTAGAGCTTTCTGATTCGTGGATGGACCAGAATAGAGGTGTGGTTTGTGACGTAAGATGTTATCAAAGTCAAGGGCAGAGAATGAGATTGTTTAACAGACAGAAAAGATTATTGGAGAAAGACCAGACTTCGTGGAGTCAAACTCCTATTATCTTCTGAAAAAGTTTAAACATGACATTTCTTCTCAGTAAACATTTTAGTTGACCGAGACTCGACCTTTAACATACTTACAAAACTTGCTCATTGAAGACAGAAAAATCAAGAAATGCATATTAACCTGATTTCTTCTTTGAATGAAGAATAAAAATCATTACTTACTGTTTATGTAAAATAAAAATGAGTAGTTCTCTTCAACCTGTAAGCATTGAGTGAACTAACACAATTTGATTATCAAACATTTGTAAAATAGTAATGATCATAGAGGATTGTCTTTTCTGCTTGATTAATTCAAGAAAGAAAGTCTCCAGATGGCTCAAACTGTATTTCTGGATGCAGATCAATGAAATAACAGTCTCTGTCCATCTGATCAGATTTGAGGTCAGATCAGGTTCACTACATATGACAAAGCAGGATATTTGCACTGCAGCCACATGGTCATCGCCCTGCTCATTTATTCGCTTCCATCTGCATGATATGTCGGCTCACTCCATGACACATTCTGTCCTCGGTGCCTTATCAGAACGAATCTCATTGTTTTCATGGAACTTCGTTTAAACTCACATCTGACTGCATGTAATTACAGTGAGATATTTGTCATCAGTCACAAGTTTGTGACTGTTGGTTTTTGTTCTAATGTCACTAATCAGTTCATGAATACTGTTACCAATCAGTTTATTTGATTACTAATCAGTTCATTTATTTTGAATCTGTTCACAGTTTTTTCAGCCTCTCCCCTTTTTCCCGTCGAGAACTTTTCTCTCCGGGCGCCCATGTACACGGAATGCGTAAATTACGCAGCACGCATCTGTACATGGTGCGCGTAATTAAGCAGCGCGTATTTACGCACATGGAGGGCTGAGGGATAAAATGTCTTTTACTACAAGAGGGCGCTTCATACGGTGTTCGAATGGACCCAGTGAGGCAAAGACTACATCCTGCTTCGCCCTTAACCCACAAGCGACAGCCTTAAAGGGCGAAGCCTATACGAAATAGAATGTTGGTTATGTACTATAACCCCAGATTCTATAAGTATAGGCGTAGCCCTTTAAGCTCTGGGCCTCACTGGCTCCTAACTGGCTGGAAAAAAAAAGCTATTTGGGAGCCGATTACCTGCTCTCAATGTAATTTATACAGACCGGGTGGGGCCCACACGACAGGTGGCTGTGGACTAAATTTTTCAGTGCGACGCATTGCGTGACGGGATAAAACCCACAAGCGACAGCCTTAAAGGGCTACGCCTATACTCATAGAATCTGGGGTTACGGTACGTAACCAACGTTTTTGTTGTAACTTTTTTGAATTTAACATTATAGCCACGCTTTCCTATTACATGATACAACAGCATGCCATAAACCTATTACTACTCTGCTGCCATCAAGTGGCTGAAAATGGTACTGCTCAAATTTTTTAATTTGTTTTTTGTCAGTCAGAATGAATGAAAACGGTCATATCTCAGCCAAAAAATGGTTTATAAATATGGGGGGAAAAAAAATACATAAATATGTCACTTCGGCCTATAAGTCGCAGGAAATGCAAATTATGCAAAAAACTGTGACTATATGCCGAAAAATATGGTACATTTTGCAGCTTTAACATCTCTCTGATAATTGGCAAGTCCATCTTTAAGTATTTGCAAAGAAACCTGAATATGATCTTTCCTCCACCGGCGCTCCGCATGCCTACACTCACGTCTGAGTTTGCGTGTGCGTTCATCCAACCAGGGTTGTCTTTGGCTTTGATTGCTTCAGCTTAAGTGGGACAACTGAGTCCAAAGCCTCCGTACAAGTTTAATTAAAAGTAGAAATCAGTTAATTTAGAGTAAGATTACATGAATGTAATGTAGTATTTTAGAAACTAAATTGACTGTAAGAGGATTTAAATCTAGAAGAGCGTTAGAATCATGGTTTGAATTCCTCTTTCTTTTGCCCTAAAATAACTTATTGTCAATTTGCCTTATTTATTGTGTTGTAGTAGGGGGTCATCATCCAGTCTTAGGTCAGTTATTTTAAATACCAATCAACAAAAACTCTTGGAAAAAGATTAGTCAGATGCAAGCTGAAGCAGAAAAAGCATATACTGATCTTCAGAGAACTTTTAAATAGCTGAATTGAAACCATATTCAACATAACACTTGACTTGCAAACATCTTTCTTACCCAAAGACTCAGGCGGAGTGCACCAGACCTCAATTAGCTCCAAGTCGTTCAGTTCCTGCTCCCGGTCCTCAGGTAAAAATTCCAAAACTCTACAGGGAAAAGGCAAGAAGAGCAAGAACTTCAGGTTCTGGGACATTGACCACAAACACATAAATGCTCCTAAACAAGGTACAAACCAGATTCCAAAAAAGTTGGGACACTAAACAAATTGTGAATAAAAACTAAATGCAATGATGTGGAGATGGCAAATGTCAATATTTTATTTGTAATATAACATAGATGACAGATCAAAAGTTTAATCTGAGTAAATGTAACATTTTAAAGGAAAAATATGTTGATTCAAAATTTCAGTGTCAATAAAACCCAAAAAAGTTGGGACAAGTAGCAATAAGTGGATGGAAAAAGGAAATTGAGCATATAACGAACAGCTGAAAGACCAATTAACACTAATTAGATCAATTGACAACATGACTGGGTATAAAAAGAGCTTCTCAGAGTGTCAGTGTCTCTCAGAAGCCAAGATGGTAAGAAGATCACCAATTCCACCATTGTTGCGCAGAAAGATAGTGCAACAATACCAGAATGGTGTTACCCAGTGTAAAATAGCAAAGACTTTTAAGTTATCATCATCAACCGTGCATAACATCATCAAAAGATTCAGAGAATCTGGAACAATCGCTGTGCGTAAGGGTCAAGGCCGTAAAACTCTACTGGATGCTTGTGATCTCTGGGCCCTTAAACGTCACTGCACCTCAAACAGGAATGCCACTGTCAAGGAAATAACAGAATGGGCTCAGGAATACTTCCAGAAAGCATTGTCAGTGAACACAATCCATCGTGCCATCCGCCGTTGCCAGCTGAAACTCTACAGTGAAAAGAGGAAGCCATTTCTAAGCAAGCTCCACAAGCTCAGACGTTTGCACTGGGCCAGGGATTATTTAAAATAGAGTGTGGCAAAATGGAAGACTGTTCTGTGGTCAGATGAGTCATGATTTGAAGTTCTTTATGGAACACTGGGACGCCATGTCATCCGGACCAGAGAGGACAAGGATTGCCCAAGTTGTTATCAACGCTCCGTTCAAAAGCCTGCGTCGCTTATGTAGATGAACAGATGCTGCGAAATATTCATCAATTAAAACGGATTCTTCATTTTTCTGGACTGAATAAAACGTGCATTGAATTTAATGAAATGTAAACGTGAGACGTCATTTATCTTTGACCCATCAAAATGAATGCGGTCATTTATTTTACAGAATCAAAGTTTAACATCAAACATTTACATTAATTTGGCAAAATATGAAAATAACAACATAATTAACAGCTTTACAGGTGGTGAGAAACAATGCGGCGATTGTTTCCACTCTTCAGCAGAACAGCAGACATTAATGAAAACTGTACAATTATGATCAATTATCCACACGGCGGTGGATGAGCACTTTACACAGACATTTCTAAATTATCTGGAGGATTTCTACTTGAGAGAAGAATTTAAAGATGGAAATGAAGTTTAAAGGGAGTAAAAGATGGTGTGTGAGGGGAAGTGTTGACCAGAACCGACACTCTCCATCCGAACCCAGCTTTTCCTCGGTACGCTTTGGTAGGAAACTTGACTCATTACCTTTTTGAAGATTAATCAGCAGATATGGAGGTCCAGTTAATGCTACCTGTCCAGCGTCTCCATAGGATGGCTGTGACTCGTCCGAAGTAGTGACGAGATTCCGTCCGACACAAGCTCACATCAGCAAGTGGACTTCACATAAGGGGAGTCCTTCAGAAGTTCCACGCAGAGGTGGAAGATGTTATAATCCAACTCGGAGGAGCCTTATCATGCTGGACTTCTGTTCTCCCAAACGACTTCACAGAACTTCTCCGCCCTTCACCGAACTGCTCAGACTCTGCGAGAACTAGGAAGTACCGGCAATTTAAAGAGCTCTATTCCCGGTTCATTTGGGCGTCCCTGATTGGTCCATATCAACCAGACAGGGGTGTGTTTTGTGATGTAAGCGGTTACTAGAAGTCAGAAAACAGCAAGAATTGTTATGGAACAGATTAAACTGTTCTCAGAGACAGAGAGAGTTTTGTTTTGGCGAGTTTTAGAAACAGGTGCCAACTCCTCCGTTGACGTCTGAGAGGATGTAAACAAGACAGTTGTTCCAACACATGTCTGCTTCGACTCCTGACCTTGGAAAACGCACACTTGCTCATTCAAAGACAGAAATCAGAAAATGCATAAAAATCTGTAACGGACCTTAACATGAATTCTAACTCTGCATAAGCATTAAAAAATCATTACACTGTTTCACAGTTAATAAAATTGATTAGTTCACTGCAACATCTAAAATGGTTTGAACTAAGACACTTTGATTATCAACATTTGTAAAATAGTAATGATAATAAAAAAGAGAGTGTTCTTTCACTTGATTTTCAAGAAGGAAAGTCTCAGGATGGGTGAACCTGTATTTCTGGATTCAAATAAATGAAATGACAGTTTCTGTCCCACAAGGTTCTTAAGGTCAAGGGTTTTGACCTTAGGCTTAGTTTTGACATCAGGTTAAGTTCACTACACTGATGGTATGGGGTTGCATGAGCGCTTGTGGCATGGGCAGCTTGCATGTCTGGAAAGGCACCATTAATGCAGAGAACTATGTTCAGGTTCTAGAACAACATATGCTCCCATCTAGACGTCATCTCTTTCAGGGAAGACCCTGCACTTTTCAACACAATAATGCCAGACCACATTCTGCAGCAATCACAACATCATGGCTACGTAGGAGAAGGATCCGGGTACTGAAATGGCCAGTCTGCAGTCCAGATCTTTCACCTATAGAGAACATTTGGCGCATCATAAAGAGGAAGGCGCGACAAAGGAGGCCTAAGACAATTGAACAGTTAGAGGCCTGTATTAGGGTGCATTCACACTAGCCCTGTTTTGTCTGCTTTAATCGAACTCTAGCTCGTTTTCCTTGAAAGTCCAATTCATTTAGGGAGGTGTGAACGCACCATCGAACTCTGTCACGGAACAAAAAGGCGAATTCTGGCCCAGGCTAAAACCTAGGTCTCGGTCCGGTAGAAGCGAACTCCAGCATGGTTCGAGTACAGTGTGAATGTAAACGACCGGGTCCCGCTCCGCAGGGTAAACAAACACGCATTTATTTTACCTTATATGGAGCCGTCAGCTGCCTTGTGTGGAAAAACAACATTCTCCATGGTCTTCTGTTTCATCTTCTGCTCATGATGAGTCCATTTTTGAAAAATGACAAAATATAACTCCTAAACTGCTAAAACTTGATGCCACTTCGTTTTTATTTTTATTTACAGAAGAAGAAGACGTGTCTTCAGAGGTTTTTGTGTCATTTCTTTCAGTAGTTCTTGGTGCAGCGCCCCCACAGGCGAGCGGGGGAACAGGTTGGTTCAACAGGTTGCTTCAACAGGTTGGTTCAACAGGTTGGTTCAACTGGTTGGTTCAACAGGTTGGTTCAACAGGTTGACTCGACTGCACAGTGTAGTGTGAATGCAAACTCACCAGCTCAAATGTAAACAAAAGCTCATGAATATTGGTACCGAACCGAACCGAGTCTACCGGACTATCTGGTGTGAAAACGACCTTAGACATGAATGGGAGAGCATTCCTATTTCTAAACTTGAGAAACTGGTCTCCTCTGTCCCCAAACGTCTGTTGAGTGTTGTAAGAAGAAGGGGGGATGCCACACAGTGGTAAAAATGGACTTGTCCCAACTTTTTTGGGATTTGTTGACGCCATGAAATTTGGAAACAACAGATTTTTTCCTTAAAATGATACATTCTCTCAGTTTAAACTTTTGATCTGTGATCTGTGTTCTATTCTGAATAAAATATTAGATGTTGGCACCTCCACATCATTGCATTCAGTTTTTATTTACAATTTGTTTAGTGTCCCAACTTTTTTGGAATCGGTTTGTATATTCTGGCATAAAATCCCCCACCCGCCAAAAATAAATATAGGTATATTAATAAATAAATCCTACAGGACTTTTGGACATTCTGTAGCAGTATGAGGTGTAAATATATGTTTTGATTATCAGTTATGAGTTAAGCTCATAAAATAAGAATGTACAGGTCCTTCTCAAAAAATTAGCATTATGTGATAAAGGTCATTATTTTCCATAATGTAATGATAAAAATGAAACTTTCATACAGGGGCGGACTGGGACAATAATCCAGGCCGGGAATTTTGATACCATCCCAGGCCACCACCACCTGATTAACGCAAACCACCAAGACTGAGTTCAATTGAGCGCACTTTGAATGCATGTTGTTTGCACACGTCTAACTGAATACCTACATAAATCTTTCTTCTGTGGTGCAATAATTCGTCCTCAAATCACATAAACTGAAATTATGTTGCCCTATATTTTGCTATGCATAAGCCCTTTTAAAATCACTAGGAATATGACAGTCAATCATAGTTTCATACAACAAATGAGAGATCGTGATTGCTTGTTGCAACTCCTCAGACTGAACTTAGTTTTTTGGATTAAAGACAAAAGTTTCAACAAGTTTTTTTTTTATTTGTCCAGAGGTCCTAACTTAAGTTTTTTAGATACAAAAAAATCTGAATTCCTAGACATTTCAACATTAAACTTTTTTCAGATCCTAACCCATATTATAAAATTTGCAATATTCTTTGTAAAAACTTAAAAACATTTGTTATATTAAGTCAGTTTTGGCCCACTTAGGTCCCTCAAAGTGAAGCTAGCATGTGGATATTAAGCTGTGCTGATAAACTGTGCCAGAGTTCAATTTTTTCAACACAAGTGTTTCTCTTACCTGCTCCATTACGAACAAACATTAATTTATAGCACTTAGCAGCATCCGCGGCCAGAGCTTTTCTCTTTTTTATCCTCTCTCTCTCTGCTCCACCTTTCCTCTTCTTTGGCTGTCTCTGTTGCTCCATTCTACAACTCAGAGATGCACGCACCGCGCGCCAACACCGTCGGGAGCGCGAGTCCTAGGGCGGGGAGGGGGGCGGGCGCAATGTGTGTGTGTGTGTCTCTGCTCTGTGACACACAGAAAAGGAAGGGAGGGGGCCGGCCCGGCCGTGGGATGTGCC